TTCCTTTATTTCTACTCTGAGTTTTTGAAAAAGATTAATGTGTGTTAAATGTTTCTCATGATTTTTCTGCTTTAATTAAATAATTATGTGGGATTTTTCTTCTTTCTTTTCATGTAGTAGATTTACTTTTATTGATTTTTGTGTATTGAAATATCTTTGCATTCAAATAGTAAATTCCACTAGGTTATTATATTTAATGATTTCACTATGTACTTAATTTGGCTTCCTAATGTTTTGTTGACAACTTTTGCTTTACTATTTATATGACATATTGATCTGTAGTTTTGTTTACTTGTAGTGTCTTTCTCTGGCTTTCATATCACCATCATGCTGGCCTCACAGTATATATTTGGAAGTGATTCCTCTTCATCAAATTTTTGGAAAAGTTGGAAGAGAATTATTGTTAATTCTAATTAAATATATGGTGGAATTCACTAGTGAAGTCATCTTGTCTTGGATTCTTTGTTGAATTTTTTTTTTTTTTTATGGATTCAATCTCCTTACTAGTTAAGGATTTTAGGCTGTCTATTTCTTTGTGATTCAGTGTCAATAGTTTTCATTCCTAGGAATTTTTAAAATATAAGTTATTCAACTTTTTAAAAATAATTTTTATTTCTGAAAAAAATGAATCATAAAGTCCCTCTTTCATTTCTGATGTTAGTTGAGTCTCCTCATTTTTTCTTTATCTATTCCGCTATCAGTTTTCTATCTTCTCTCCCATAGGATTCCTAGTTAAAATTGATATTAAAATTAAGCTAAATTAACTGAAGAAATAAAGAATGTGTTCTGTGATTTTGAGTTTCATTCAGGATTTGTCTTGGTATGTGCTTTACAAATTATATTAAACTTCTGAGGGACGGTTACATGTGCAAGTATATACCTAAAGGAATGCACAGGTAAAATTATTATCCCTGAAATTATGTATTTTATTCATCATCACCAACAAAAAAATGGCTTTTCCCAATAATCCATAGGGACTTGACTGTGACAAATGTTATTTTCACTTATCCTTTGAGATTACTATGCTGAAGTTGCTACATATATAAAGTACGTTTAGGTTGCTTCTTGCCTCTGAATGCATTTCTTTATAAACTAGTTAAGGTGTTTATAAAATGAAAGATGGAGAGGAAAAGACTAGTTTAATTGATCCATGGATGACTTTTAAGAGACATGAGACTCCACTAAACAATACTATCTTATTTTGTAAACCAGCTAGATTCAAGGGAGAAGATATAAATCTTTGGACTGAGAAAATAGATATTTCTTATTTTCCATGGAGAACATGAAAAAACAACTAGATTCTAAGAAACAGAACTTTTTTAAAGGATGTTGTAGAGGTGAGGATTATCTCTCAATCTGATCAAATTTTATATTGTATGACTCTATTGAAGGAATAAACATTTGCATATCTGTGACTGTTGGACTCAAATATAGGTTGGCATTTTCAGAGAGATGACATCACAGAGATTCTGTCATGAGCACTTGTGCATAAAGAATGTTTTGTAAGTTATTGTAGTATCTGTGAGTATGTCCTCTTTCCATTCTGTTCTTGCAATGTTCTATATTGCACTTACATACTTAATATATACTTGCTGAGAACCTACTAAGTGACAGCCACTGGTCTAGAGACTGGACTATAAAATTCCCTGTCAATTTTGTGATTACTCATTGATGTGTGGGGACCCTTGTTTGACCATATAATCTTATTTCATGTTACTAATATTTCAACTCTTTGTCCTAACTATACTATATCTTAATTAATTATGCCATAATTGCTTTTCCTAATGAAACTTTGTTCAGGCTTTTTTTGCTTTTCCTTTGCTTACATGTATATGTAGATAGACAAATATAACTTCGTGAGAGTATATAATTGTATCTATCTTTATCTCTATTAAAATCTGACAGGTCAATATTATATATTCTTCACATTCTAGCCTAAGTGTGATTCATTCAAGAATATTTTCTTTGAATCACTAAACTTGATTTGAGCCCTGTTGTTTCTACATGATACTTTTTCTTTCCTTCTGGGATAGTTAATTGCATGATAAATTATTTACAAAGTTGTTTTTAAAAGTTATAAAATAAATAAAGCTATGTTTGCATCACTCTCATGTTTTTCACTACAATAAAGCCCGGGGTCTAGTAAATGTGATAGCCTAGAAAATATTTCCTCAGCTAATGATATTTGAAGAGCATAAATGTGTTGGCATAATTCTGGGAAGCACACTTAAGGGAACTCTGCTTACATTCTTATGAGTGTGTATTATATTGATGAGAATATTTTTGATACATAAGGAAAGCAGGATCTCTTTGAGAGTCAATGGAAGTACTATCTAAGGTCACTGCCTTGATGGGAGATGAGAAACAGAAAATTAGTAATAAGATTCTCTAAAACTGAAGCATCTGTGATAACCCTCCTACTCTCTGTCTTGTGCTTAACTACTTTATCCCAGGGCTTGTCTGCCACGGAGATTTGACTATCCACGGGACCTATGAAATGTTTGAAGAAAGCTGCTTTAGTAAGTACTTTATATCTCTAACATAATTAGGTCAATTTATGAGTCTAATAAATAAACAGTTTTGAATGTGTCATAATGTGAGTTCTACATCATTTGCATTATAAGGATCTATTCACCTAGTAAATGATCAAAGTTACGATAAATGAGGACGGAAAGATGGGAAGGTAGGAAGTGTGATTAACATTAAGAAATACAAGTTTCTTAGAACATATCTTACTTAAATGGTACATGATAGTAATAAATAATAGGAAATAAACAGTCACATGTTATTGTATGTCAGATTAATTACATATATAGTGTAGCAAATGAAAGTATAAAGATAACACATTATGTTAATCCTATTTTAGAAACCACATCAAGGAATTCAGGATCATGTCCTTAGAGAGGAACAGAGATCATTTCTTTCTTTTCACTAAACTGATTAGATTGTGGGTTGTAGAGTCCTCTACCTAAAGCAAGCATCCTTTTATAACTCCCTTAAATTTTGTAAGATCTCTACTTAATCTTTTCTATGTATGGAAACTCACTCACATGAAAGAAATACTGAATGAAAGCCCAAAGAATAAGCCCCTTCAAAAGCCTTGTTTCATTCAAAATAAAGTCTGGTTATCACAGATGTAAAAGCTTCCAGTAGAGATTAACCTGCAAATTCAAACCCAAAGTACCATTGAAGAACACCTTTGTATTCTAAGGAGTAATAGTCTGCATCTTTTATGTTCATATATCTGAAATATACTCTGTGTTAGCACTAATTTATTGGTAGTTCTAAACTCGGGGTTTTGGTATTTCCTAAGTATAAATGAGATTTGACACTGGATTCTGCGCATTTTGTGAATATGTTAGTCAATGAATATGTTAGTCAAAGAGTTTTCTGGCAGCTAAAATTAGGGGAACAGAAATAAATACTTTATTTTTTCTTTTTTGAGTTGGAGTCTCACTCTGTCATCCAGACTGGAGTGCAGTGGCTGCTCGCGGCCACCGCAGCCTCGTCCTGCTGGGCTCCAGCAATCCTTCCGCCTCAGCCTTCCGAGTAGCCGGAATTACAGGAGTGCGCTACCATGCCCAGCTAATTTTTTTTTTTATTCTAGAGATGAGGTCTCGCCTGCCTAGGCAGGTCTCGAACCCACGGGCTCAGGCAATCCACTCACCTCAGCCTCCCAAAGGCACGGGATTACAGGCTGAGCCACCGAGCCCGGCTAGAAATAAATACTTTGTAATAAGTAATATTAGGGAGAGCTTACAACTAGATATAGATGGAAAATATAACAAGTCATGGGATTGCTAGCTAAAACAGATTTGGGACCCATTTAATTGATGCAAAAATAAGTGTTTTTTAGAAAGTCCTCATTAAAAAAAATGAAAAAAATAAGTTTTTAATATTCCCCAGATATTTGTTAGTATAACTTATATTTATCTACAATGAGCAGAGAAAACTTTGAAAACATGAAGAAGCTGAAACGAGAAAAAATGGACTTTACTGCCTGTGATTTCCTTACTTTTTTAAGTCTTAGAAATCTTTGCTATCCTATTTCTTCTGTTTTTCCCTTCTTCATAGAAATTGTTCATATTACTACCAGAATATATAATATCCCAGGCTTTGAATAGTTTAAGGCTCATCACTTAGGTACCAATTTAAATATGACATTCTCACAACCCAACGTAGACTTGTCATTATTTATTTATTTATGGTGCCTTACTTTTTCCTCCAGTATTATCTCCATGATTTGTTCATTTCTTTTTCCCTTTCTTTTCCTTTTCTTTCTTTCTTTTCTTTTCTTTTCTTTTTTCTTTTTTTTTGAGTCAGAGTCTCACCCTGATTCCCAGGCTGGATTGCAGTGGCATGATCATGGCTCATCAAAGCCTCAATCACCTGTACTCAGGTGATCCTTCTGCTTCAGCCTGCAGGTGCTACTACAGGTACACACCTCTATACCCGTCTTTTTTTTTTCATGAAATTTTTTGCAGAGATGAGGTCTTACTATGTTGCCCAGGCTTATATCAAACTCCTGGGATCAAGCAATGCTCCCACCTCAGCCTCTCAAAGTGCTGGGATTATAGGCATGAGCCACTGTGCCAGACATTTAAAAAAATTTTTTGTACATTTTAAATATTCAAATGCTAAAACATGGTTTGTTATAGAGTAAATGTTTAGTAAAGATATGCTGCATGAAGTACAAGTATGACTACAAATGGAATAATTTACTGAAATGGACAAAGTGACTTACAGTTATCTGTGAAAATATGAAGTAATATAATAATTATCGTTTATTATTTCAAAGTTCAATAATTTGGAATACTTTAATTTTATTATTCTAGTTCTAGTGAACTTAAATAATCCTGATAATAAATTTGGATTGTTTTTAACAGCTAATTAAAGGCCTTTCTGAACTTAACCACTATATTTTTCAGCATCTGGTTGTGATCAAACTGTCATAGCAACTTGTTTTCATAAAAACTGATAGAAAGCAAAAGAAAACAATAATGCCTCCTTTCAATGCTTCTCGTCCCTCTTCGATCACCTTTTTGCTGCTGGGCATCCCAGGACTAGAGCACCTGCATGTCTGGATTGGGATTCCTTTTTGCTCCATGTATGTGGTGGCCGTGGTGGGGAATGTGACCATCCTGGCCGTGGTAAGGGCAGAGAAAAGCCTCCATGAGCCTATGTTCCTGTTTCTGTGCATGCTGTCAGTCACTGACCTGGTCCTCTCCACATCTACACTGCCTCGCATGCTCTGTCTCTTCTGGCTCGGAGCCCATGACATCGCCTTTGAGGCTTGCCTGGCCCAAATGTTCTTCATTCATAGCTTCACTGCCATGGAATCGGGTTTCTTCCTGGCCATGGCCATTGACCGTTATGTGGCCATCTGTGACCCACTGCATCATACCACCATTCTCACCCACAGTCGCATCACCATAATGGGTTCCATCGTGGTGTGTCGGGGTGTAGCCTTCTTTATTCCACATCCCATCCTGCTCAAACAGCTGCCTTACTGCAGAACTCGGATCATTGCCCACACCTACTGTGAGTTCATGGCTGTAGTAAAGCTGGCGTGTATGGACACAGGGTCTACCAAGCGCTACAGCCTCAGTATGGCTTCTATCATTGGCTCAAGCGATGCCATTCTCATAGCTGTGTCCTATGCTTTCATCCTGCGCTCTGTATTCCGCCTGCCATCCCGAGAAGCTAGCTTTAAGGCATTGGGTACGTGTGGCTCCCATGTCTGTGTCATTCTTGTTTTCTATTCCACAGCTGGGTTTTCCATTTTCACTCACCGTTTCGGGAAACATGTTCCAGCACATGTTCATATTTTTATTGCAAATATGTATCTTTTGGTGCCCCCTTTTCTCAACCCCATCGTGTATGGAGTAAGGACCAAGAAAATACGCGAGCATGTTCTTAGAACGCTAAGGGTCAAGGTTGCTTTATTTTAGTTGGATAAATGAAAGAGACAGCTCAAGAATCAATCTAAATGCAAGAGAAGATGAAGGGGAAAATAAATAACTGCTCTCAGTTTCATAACCTGAATTGCATTTATCATCCGAAATTTCTGTTAGTTACAAGTTGACTGCAAATTCCAAAAATTCTAATTCAACAATTTGTTACAGTTTTTTAATATATTTAATAAGTACTGGAGAAGAGATTATTAAACTTTCTGTTGTTTCTTTCAGAGAATAATTACAAACAGAATAGGAAAGGACAAAAGGATAAGTAAACATGATATAAAAAATAAAAGAAGATTGTTTAGAGAACTAAATGCTGAATAGAATATGCCTGAAAGTTTGAAACAATTTGGATTCATTGAAGATGCTGTGAATTCATCTATGAATTCATAGAACACATGATGATTATAGTTCTGCTTTCTAGTGAAATTAGATGAAAGGCTTATAGTTCATCTGTAGAAATAGTACTAATAACATATGCATATTAAAAGTTGGTATACAAAGATGAGTCTCCTAACAATAACATGGGAGCTCCAATTCTGGTGTAATGACAGCTCTGTTTTCTAGATAAATTTTTATAAAAATGCCAATATCCTAAAGTCTATCGACTGCTAGATAGAGTATTTTCAATATTAAACCAATATCTTAGAGTCTGTTTACTGCTGAAATTGAGGTTATGAATTCCAAGTTTCATATTTTGTAGTCAAAATTATTAAATTACCTGCTATTTTATACACTGGGATTATTTCATTGATTAGATGACTTGAAGCTCAGTATTCAGTTGTACAAAATGAAATGTCTTATTAGTGACAATGATAAAATACTCCTATTTATTGTCCCAGTACCAAGGACTTACTTATTTCATTAATTCATTGTCACTATTTTCCCAAGCAGTTATCTATTTCTCATTTTTTAAATATAATCTAACATTGATGGGTCTTTTATATTTTTGATCTATAAAGGCTGATTTTTGGCTACCTATGGTTTGAAGCATTTTACCATCCCTTGCTTATTGACTCAGGCACTCACACATAATTTAAACAAGACTAACATCTCTGGATTTATCAATACTCAGTTCATTCAAATATGACAACAGTGTAAAGGTTTCTGTTTTTGGAGAATTGATGTATTTGTCATAATTTTCTTGACTAAGAAACTCAGGATCAGAAGTAATTTGAAGGTGTATCAAAATTGATTTAGAAATTGTATGTTTGAGATTCGTATAGAATATTAAATGACTTATATCTTGTAGGCAAAAAAAAGTCTCAGATAAGGTAAATATTCAAGTATCTTCAACCTGTAAGTGGACAAAGGGTTTTGTTGTAAGTGGTCTCACTAAAAAAACAATTGCACACACATACACAAAATACAGAGAATTTGAACAATGCTGAAATCTGTGTTACCATTCCCTATCTGTCTTATTTAAGTGTATCATTTTGTATCAAGGATTAAGACTTTGGTGACTCCAAGGCATTGCTTGGACGTTCATAATACTTTGTATTAAAATAACTAACAATTGTGTGAGGATTAAATGAGATTTGTGAATCAAAATGGCACAAATAAAACACTCAATAAATGTTAATTATTTTGCTCCTCCACAATGACTGTGACTTTCTATGTTCTTTATCTTTCATTTGTTTAAATTGCTTTAAGAAATGCCTATTATATATTACTTAACATCTTTGCAACTGCATATTTGTATTTTTTGATGTTTATATATTGAGTGTATTTTATTCCATTTTCTTTTAGTCAAATACTTGCTGAGTCTGGCAACATTTTTTGTTTCCTTTTCCTGTGGACAATTTTGGTTAATTTCATCCCATATATTGATTATTAAAGCCTTCTGGAGAACAAGGTAATGTTATGAAAGTGGAATAGAACATTAACAAGAATATAGAATAAGAATATTTCATCTTTTATGTTAACACAATCATTTTATAATATGTATTCAATACATTTCTTTTAAATTGGATTAGATTGATTTGGACTAATTTTCTTAACTATTACATTTTTTCTATCATTATCAAGTAACTTTTTTTTTGAGTTTGGAATCTCACTCTGTTGCCGAGGCTGGAGTACAGTGGCACACTCACAGCCACAGCAGCCTCGACCTGATGGGCTCAAACGATCCTTCTGCCTCAGCCTTTCAAATAGCTGGTACCACCGGTGCATGTGCCACCCGGCCTGGCTCATTTTTTTATTTATTGTGGAAGTGAGGTCTTGCCATGTTGCCCAGGCTGGTCTCAATCCCCTGGGTTCAGGCAATCCTCTCGCTTCCACCTCCCAAGGAGCTGGGATGACAGGCATGAGCCACCACGCCTGGCTAAGTGAATTATTTTTGTTCTTATTTTTCTCTTAGAAGAAATTTGCATGAGGAGACCATAATTAAGTTCCTTAGAATCCATACCAGATGTACCTGGGAAGCTTGGAAACAAAATCACTCATCTTCTGTGAATGGAGGGCTCCTGCAGATTTCTCTGATTGTCTACAACCTCTTTCTACTTGTTTTATCATGGGAACTTAGTAAACTTATAATGAACTAAACTGTAAAGACAACAGGCTATATTATGTTTGGCTTATACTTTAATATTGTCATGTGTGTTTTTCTTTCTTTCTCAAATATATTTTACTGCCATACATCATTGCTGTGCTTTTTTTCACCATCATTTATCTTTCATGATGCAGTTCAGTGTCAACTGAAGGAAGTTTCCTCTGATGTTTGTCTTTATTAATATATACTTGCATGCTAATAATACCGAAGTGTGTGTGTGTGTGTGTGTGTGTGTGCGTGTGTGTGTGTGTGTGTGTATAAAATAACCATTCATATTTTCAGTATTAAGATAGACTGTAGCTCTCCATCGGTCTGCTGCTGTGCTTTATGTCCCTGGCCCCTAAGGTGGCGGCCAGGCAGGGAATCATGATCAGGTAGTGCAGTTTGCTGAGCCAAGTCAGCAGTTTATAGAGGACTCAATTTGAATGGTTAAAAGATGCACCAAACCTGATAAAAAGAATTCCAGAAGATTGCCATGGCAACAACAATAGGATTTGCTATAATGGGATTCATTGACTTCTTTGTGAAATTGCTCTGTATCCCTATTGCTAACATAATTGTTGGTGGCTGAATACTTTTCAAAGAGTGTTTGCATCGTTGGACTGATGGACCAGTGAGGGGTTGAGAATCTCAAGGAGTAAAGTTTGCCTATGTTTATTTTTCTTCCAAGACATTTTCTCTTTCTAAATTAAAATAATTTAAAATTTTAAAAAAAGATAAAATGTAACTAAAAGACATTCACTAGTATCTTAATTGTGATAAAATATATGCAAGCATAAAATTTATTATAAACATTGTAAGTGAACAGTTCAATGGCATAAATACATTCACATTGTTGTACAGCCATCACCAACATCCATCTCCAGGACTGTTTTTGTTTTTTTATTTTAAAGGTGTGGGGTACGATTCAGATTAGGTATACAAGTGGTCATTGTACGGGTAAAGTTTTGGCCTCCCTTTTGTCCCCACTTCATCTGGTTTAAGGTCAGGTACCCTTATTGATGTTATGTGCTCCACTCCCCACCCCAACCTGGACCCCCGGCAGTGTCCTGCTACTGCCAATCCTTTTTTTATCGTATTATGGTAAATGCAGAAGTGTTTTTGTCTTTCCCAACAGGAACTTTGTATCACTAAACATTCTCCCCATTCCCATTCTCCCCTCTCCTCCTCCTCTCATAACTCCCATTCCAAGAATTGTCTATAAATTTAACTACTATAGACACCTTATATGAGTGTAGCCATACAATATTATTCTTTTGTAACTCTTTTTTCTCATGCAACATGATGTCTAAAATATTCATCTGTGTTGTGGCATGTGACAAAATTTCCTTCTTTTTAATTTGAATAATATTCCATTTTATGTACATACCACATTTTGTCTATTCATTCAACTGTCAGTGGATAGTTGGGTTGTTCCCATCTACCAGTTATTGTGAATAATGTTGTTATGAGCTTGAGAGTACAAATATCTATTTGATTTCCTGCATTTATTTCATGTGGGTATATGCAAAGAGGTGAAATTGCTGAATCACATAAGTCTGAGTTTAATTTTTTGAGGAACTACCATATTTTTTCTTCTTGCTACTTACTGAATCACTTTACATTATCACCAGAATGTGCAAAGATTCTAGATTCCTTCACATCTATACCAACATTTGTGTTTTTTTGGTAATAGATATTCTAATGGGTATGAAGTAGTATCTCACTGTGGTTTAGATTTGCCTTTCTCTCAAAATTAGTGATGCTGAGTATTTTTTCATGTGCTTATTGGTCATCTGTATATATTTTTATCATATGTTTGCATTGCAAATATTTTCTGCCACTTTCTGGATTGCTTTTTACCCTGTTGATAATATACTCTGACATACAAAATTTTAATTTTTATAAACACCAACTTATCAGTTTACTATTTTTTCCTGTATTTCTAATGTATTTTAAATAAATCATTACCAAATCTAATATTATGAAAATTTTTCTTTATCCTTTTTCCTAATAAATCTATGATTCTACTTTTTACAACCAGGTCTTTGATTCATTTTGAGTAATTTGTATGTGCTGTAAGATGAATATAACTTCATTTTTTCATATGGATATTCATTTATCCAAATAGTATTTGTTGAAAAGACTGTTCTTTCTTTTCTTTTCTTTTCTTTTCTTTTCTTTTTTTTGAGTTAGAGTCTCACTCTGTCACCCAGCCCAGGCTGGAGTGCAGTGGCATGCTCACGGCCACCACAGCCTCAACCTGCTGGGCTTAAGTGATCTTTCAGTCTCAGCCTTCCAAGAAACTGGAGCCACAGGCATGCACCACCATGCCTGGCTAATTTTTTTTATTTTTGTAGAGACGAAGTCTCACCAAGTTGCCTGGGCTGGTCATGAACCCCTAGGCTCAGGCAATCCTCTCGCCTTCACCTCCCAAAGGGCTGGGATTACAGGCTTGGGT